AATCTCACAGGACACATATCACAAGGATCAGGGGCCAGTGAACAAGGCCAAGTATTGTTTGCTCCTCTCTGCCACTTAAGTGCCTTTCTCAGAGGGTTTCAAAACAGTAGGAGGCCTGTTGTTTGCCTCTGTCCAGTTACTTGGGTATGCCACCAGGAAGGAACCCGATGCTACCTGTTGAATAAAGGCATTGGCACCCAGTGGAGCATCACGCATGTAGGTCCACAGGCCTGTGTGGACTGGCAGAGTCTGCTCTCTAATGAGCTTTCAATCTCACACCAACATTTGTGTTTAGAACACACAGCGTTGGGACAGTCATTTTTCGCTCACATGTGTAGGACACAGATGACCAACCACAGGCAACAATGTCAGCTGCACTCTAAAAGGGAACCCAGGCCTCTCATAAGGTGTTTCAGTGGGCAAAGGAGCTTGCTGCTAAGCCTGACGATCTGAGTTCAATCTCCAGGACCCACATGGAGGAAAGAGAGCCTATTCCTGTAAGTTGTCCTCTGACCAACCCGCCCCCCAACTCCCTATAAAATAAATCTTTTACAAAATTAAAAAATAGTAGAAAGGAACAACTCAATAGATGTGTCCACACAGGAAGAGGGCCTGACCTCTGGCCCTCTGTTCCTAATGTGTTCTTAGAGATACGTCTCCTGGTCAGTCGGATGGCAGGTGCCAGCCAGTGGGGTCTGTGGGGGCAGAAGAGGGGATTACACACAGAGGATAGTAAGAAGCCCAAACTGGTGAGGTCAGATGTCGGGCTGGACGTAGGCCAGTTTTCAGCTGGTTTCTCTGCATTGTGCCACTGGTATGATATTGAATTACTACTCAGTACCCAAAATGCATTCTTCTTAGGTAGTGGATGTAGGAATCAGTTTATGAAGTGTCTGCAGTCCAACACTGTAGGGAATGTAGGTCTTTAAAATTATCCTTCATTTCACCTGCTTTTTCCAACCTCTCCTAGACCCACACAGTCAGTCCTCAACAGAGACTTTTTTCCCTAAAGACTCCCCATCCCACCTGCTTCTTCTGTGTAGGAGCCAGACGGTCTTATAGCCATGCCTGACATGACAACCCTCTGATATGAAGACTGTACCAAGGATCGAACTTGGGTTGTTAGACTTGGAAACAAGCCTCTTTTCTGGCTGAGTCATCTCACCAGCCACCTTTTTTATTTTTAAAATTAATTAATTTAATGTGTATGTGTGCATGCCTGTGTGTATACGTGTACGTGTGTGTGTGCCTCACCTTCCCAGAACACTCAGATGAAATCCATATTTGTACTGAAATAACAGCATAGTTGAGAAAAGTCCCCTGAGGCAGGGGAGCAGGCTGGAGAGTCGGATCTAGAAGGCTTTACACAAAGG